AAATTTAAGGGGGTCTGAATACTTTCCGTACCCACTGTATTAATATCGGAAACTGCACTACATTGCTTTTTTTTTTTTTGCTCAGCTTTGGCCTCGGAATAAAACAGGTGTTTTTTCCTCTGCGAGTGTAAGCTCCATTTATACTATACGAACCATAAAAGCCTGATGAATCAAATATGATGCTCAACAAAAATCATCTGCAAACTTTTATCAGAAGGTTCAATAAAGCATTCTATTAAGAAAATAGGTTTTTCTGACTATTAGTAATATGTCAGGCTTACAGGGTTACGCTCCACTGCTAGTGTGGTTTACAGTAAAACATAATCATAAAATGGTAAAAATAAATGTATATTATTCATACATGGGTTGGAATGAAGGTATAGGTCAGATATAATTCTCTTTGGAAAAGTGGATGAGAAATTACTTGAGCAAGATTGATGTCTAAGAGAAACATTCGCAATTTATTTATTTGTTATTTATCTTTACAACAGGCAGGTTTCACACATACATGCACACACACAGAAACACACACCTTCAGTTTCTTTGTGGAGCTGAGAATGTGTTCAAAATGTGGATGAATTGAAGCAATACATGTATGTCGAGATACAGGAAGGCTAATGAAAGCATTTCTCCAGTCTCTCTCGCTCTTTCTTTTCATGCCTGTGTTGTTTCCTCTGCCCTGTGTTTGTCCTCCAAATTGAATTATTCCTTTGACGTGGCGATAAGGGACGGCTTTAGTCCATTATGCAGAGACCATCTGCGTTTCTTAAATATGTTTTGCAAAGGCACACACTCGTACCTGAGGGGGATCTTACAAATTCACACACATACACACAAACACAGAGCTACCTTCTCACACTAGCTCAGCTTCACCAAATGTTAGTCAAAGTATTCCCAGATCCATGTCAAGGCTTTTTTAAAAGACAGCAATCGCAAACAGCCTGAGGGTTTGGTTACGTTTCCAACCAACAGTTGAGTGCCTCTCAAAAAACCCCATAACATCTCAAAACACATCCAAAAAGCAACATCTAGCCAATGTCTCCCTCCCTCCTGGTGGTCATTACCTCTGAAAGCTGCACAGATGGTTTTCTGTAGCTCCTCTGTGTCTTCATTATCCGCACAATTACTAAGGGAGGACGCCCACAATTACAACCAACAGCCAGAGCCCACGCCGCAGTGCTCAGTATTTATTACTGCTACACCTGCACCAGCGCGGCCCAGGTGTTCCCTCTGTCACAACACTTCTTATGTCATTTTCATATTTTAGTCTCTGGGTTTATGGATAAAATATGAAAATATGTGGCAGACCTTTACATTCCAGCATTGCTGATTTTGTATAACGTATTGGACCCATAATTTTGAGATCCGATGTAACATTAGTTGACAAAGAGACATAAAATTATCTCTATTGGACCGAGTTTCTGCTACCAGCTGATTTATTATAATTACTGATACTACAAATGTGTGCTAGTATGGCAGCTAATTTGAATTTTTAATCACCTAAAAGCTCATAATTTTTTGTAGGTAGTGCATCTGTTCATAAAAAAAAATAGAAAAAGAAAAACAGAATAACATTCGCAAAGGCAGTAATCTGTGTAGAAGACTATTTAAACATGAAAAAAAAATATATATAGTTATAAATAAAGTTTAGTAGTTACACAGCTGTTTTCAAACAATATATAATAATAGGAAATGCTTCTTGATCACCTAAGAATATTAGAATGATTTCAGAAGGATCATGTGACTCTGAAGACTGGAGAAATGGCTGTAGAAAATTCAGCTTCTTCGCCATCACAGGAAAAAACTATATTTTAACATACTTTAAAATAGAAAAAAATATTGTTTAAAATTGTAAAAATATTTCACAATATAACTGTTTTAAAAAAACTTATTATATATATATATATATATATATATAACAGGGTAGCAAACAACAACATCTGAGTTAATCTATTTATTATATATATATATATATTAGTGCTGTCAAACGATTAATCGCATTCAAAATAAAAGTTTTTGTTTGCACATACAATACAATACATGTGTTTGTACTGTGTATATTTATTATGTATATATAAATACACACACATGCATGTATATATTTCAGAAAAATATGTTATGTTTATATATTAAAAATAGTTATTTATAATATAAATTATATGAATATAAATATAGACATGTAAATATTTTCAAAATATATACTTTATGTGTGTGTATTTATATATTCATAATATATATATACACAGAACACATGCATATATTATGCAAACAAAAACTTTTATTTTGTATGCGATTAATCGTGATTAATTGTTTGACAGCAGTACTTAAGATATTATGTCTTGTTTTCAGAAAAAAACTAACAAATTTTGTTAGTTTTTGCTTAAAAGAAGTAAAATATCTGCCAATGGGATAAGAAAAATAATCTTGTTTAGCCTTCGAATTAAGATTATTTTTCTTACCCCACTGGCAGATATTGTACTTGTTTTAAGTAAAAACTAACAAAATTTGGATAATATTTTCAGAAAACAAGACATAATATCTTAAGTCATTTTACATGTCATGCATCAGTAAATGCATCCTGATTCAAGAATTTCTAGATATCTACAAGACAAAAATACTAAGGAAGAAAATCGTTTGTTTGCAGTGTATGCTACAGTGATGTGTGTTAATGTTGTCATTCTCTCTCTCTCTCTCTCTCTCTCTCTCTCTCAGAGAAGAACAACAGATGAATGTTATTTCCTCGAGCGCCTGGAGTCAAACAACTACAACACGTACCGATCCCGCAAGTATCCCGACTGGTACGTGGCTCTGAAGAGAACAGGCCAGTATAAAGCGGGTTCGAAGACCGGCCCGGGCCAGAAGGCCATTCTGTTTCTGCCCATGACAGCCAAGTGCTGATGGAGAGATGCGGTCAAACACAGAGCGAGACGACAGACCACTGACGCAGACGCACTTCTAACCAACCTTATGCCAAGACACGGAAAAAACGCTTCTATCTAGGAACACTTCCCAAACAGATGCATTTGGAGAGCATTACAGGGTTTATTTGTTCGTGTTCAGTCACCCTGGAGATATCAGCAATATCCGCAGAAGACCATCTCAGATCCAACTTTCCACAATACTCTATTATTCCACTTTATTCCCTCGAGCAAGGGCAGCAGGGTTGGCTCGGAGAGTTCACTGATCTGCACTATACGCTCTTGAATTCATGACTGCATTTCTCGCAGGAGTGTTTTTAGTACGGCTACAAAATGTGAGTTTACTTTAATGCTGCTCCTTTATGCAAAAGGCTCGCAAGTATTTCTATACTGTATTTTAGAGAAAGAAAGGGATTTGCAAATGCAAAGGTTTGCTTTGATGAAGGGATTCCGAGTACATCATGAATGTTTTTTTTGTTTTGTAAAACTTTATTCTCTTTTTCATATATATATATAATCTTGGCTGAGAAAAATAGTTTAGTTACATCATTGCTGCGAGTAATAGTAAGATTAACAGTAACAGTCTATCATTTTTTTTTTTTTGAGGTAACTTTGAGAAATCAGATACTGAAGAGTTTCTTTGATTAAAACCTGTAAAACCTCCAGGCAGATTAGGCGAGGTAGCGTATTATAAAGTTCAGAAACTAAAACTGGTCCATCTGCAACACGCTCTTGAAAATAAAGGTTCTTCAGTGGAACAAAGAACCATTTTGCCATTTAATCAGTTTTTAAAAATACTCCATTCATTATAGCACTTAAAAAAAAATTCTGGTGTGAATCTCATGAAGAAGTTATGCGTAAAATTAAGAAAATTAAGTGTATTTTCAGAGCCAGGTTTTTCTTCTTAGTGCCATTATTGAGAGAAATGTCCAATAATTATAAATACTATCGTGATAAATATTTCATTCAAAAGTACTTTATAATATATATAAATACAATTTGATATAATGTATTTTTTTATTATATTTTTTGCATGTCACAGTAAGTTACTTAGAAATGCAAAAACTAGGCTTCATTTTCATTATTCAAGACATTTTTGTTTAGATTTTTGGGTAAAATAAGACCCAGATATTTCTAAGAAATGTATTTTAAAGATAGGGTCTTCATGAGATTTAAAGCATTTTCGGTTCTAATTGCGACCTTTATTTTGAAGAGTGCATTGCAAAAAAAAAATCTTATTTTCTTATTTTAGTTTTTTTTGTTGTTGTTTTTTTTAAAAATCAAGACACATTTAGAGATGCAGAATTACATTTTTTTTCTGAAAAAATACCAAAATCAAGCGAGTTTGCTTAAAAAAAAAAAATAAATAAATAAAAATAAAAAGGTGCCAATGGGGAAAAAAATACGTTTGTTTTCCCTTTGAATTAAGTTTATTTTTCTGACCCCATTGAATTTAGGTTTTAAGCATAAACGCACTTAATCTTGATGCATTTTTCATAAAACAAGACTAACCCCCGGTTTCACAAACAAGGCTTAAGCCTATAGTCCCAGACTAAACTGTAAGTCTGAGCTGTTTCAACTGAAAGAAACTTGCACTGATTGATCTTAAAATATATCGGTGCCTTTGTTTTGTCTCAAGATGCACACCAGTAATGTTTTTTTTTCTAAGGCTTATAAAAATTGAACTGTGGCTTAGTCTAAGCCCTGTCTGTGAAACCAGGCCTAAAGGTCTTAAGTCATTGTGCTTCTCCAGTAAATGCATCTTGATTATATAATGTACTGTACTGGGAACAAAGCAAATGGTTTTGTGCAGTGTGGAGTTGCTCTATGGCATCTCTGGCAGTCGTCTGTGGTAGAGCTGATAGAAAAGGCCGGAATAAACGGCCGGCATCTGCTCCATCGTCAGGTCGATGTTCTGGAAGCCGTTTTCCAGTCCGTACAGCAGGAGTCTGGCGACGCGACTGGTGATCGGCGTGGTCTCGCCGGTCTCGGCGAGTTCAGTCAGATCCAGCCATTCGCAGCGCAGACACTCTTGAGAGCAGAAGTCGATGCGGAAGGAGAGCGGGCTGAGTCTGCAGATCAGGTACATGTCGGACATCCCGAATGCTCCCGGATGATTGTGCTGCTGACGGATACTGAGGAGCGAACAGAACTGCGATCGCACGCCGGTTTCTTCAAAAACCTCCCGGACGGCCGTCTCGCCTGAAATAGAGCGTCCAGTTAGAATAGAGAAATAAAGCAATAAAGAATTTATAACAGCTAAGGGGTGTTGTTAGACCCACCGAAACCCCCTTAGCTGTTATAAATTTACTGTAAACCACGGCTTCATGGGGCTTTATTGCTTTTATAAAACAGTTAAGGTTCCACAAAATAAAACAGAGCAAATAAAGTGTAATGATATTAATAAAACCATTATTCTTCCACCAAACAATGTAGTTCCTCAGAATCACTTGTGGTTGCAACAAAGTGGTTGCCGAGCAACAGACAAACGTAAACAAAGGTGTATGTTACTTTGTAGAGTAATTTACAACAGCTTTGAACGCGGCTCAGCCAATCAGAATCAAGGACCGGAACGCTCCGTTTTATCATTCAAAATAAACTCTCCAATCTCGGAGACAAGTAAATACTGTCAGAACTGCACAGCAACATTAACTTAGTTGGTAGAAATTCACATTAGACTTTAAAATAATAGTTTACCCAAGAATGAAAATTAGCTGCAAATCTGCTCACCCTCAGGCCATTCAAGATTAGGATGAGTTTGTTTCTTCATCAGATTTGTAGAAATGTAGCAGTGCATCAGTGTCTCAGCAATGGATGCTCTGCAGTGAATGGGTGCCGTCAGAATGAGAGTCCAAACAGCTGATAAAAACATCACAATAATCCACAAGTAATCCACAGCACTCCAGTCCATCAGTTAACATCTGGAGAAGCCAAAAGCTGAAACAAATCCAGCATTAAGATGTTTTTAACTAAAATACAAGTTCATAATGCATAATAACGCTTCCTCCAGTGAAAAAGTGTTCTGGTCTGAATCAGGAGAGAAATCTGCACAGATCAAACAGCGTTTAAACAGCTCTGAACAAATATGTGGCTGGATGTGAGAGACAACAGGAGATGGATTTATGGATTTACTATGGATTATAGACTTGTATTTTAGTTAAAAACATCTTATTGACGGATTTGTTTCAGCTTTTGTCTTCTCCAGATGTTAATTGATGGACTGGAGTGCTGTGGATTACTTGTGGATTATTGTGATGTTTTTATCAGCTGTTTGGACTCTCATTCTGACGGCACCCATTCACTGTAGAGCATCCATTGCTGAGACACTGATGCAATGCTACATTTCTACAAACCTCATGAAGAAACAAACTCATCTACATCGTGGATGGTCTGAGTACATTTTTCTCTAATTCAATTTTTTGAGTGAACTGTTTCTTTAAATACTTTCACACAATCAGTTTGACTAATACTGTATCTTATATAATGAGATTTAGAGAAACATAGAGTAGGATAAAACTTAAAGGCAAAGGGTCCTTTTATTGTACGCTTGTGAACACAATGTCATTTACTGAACTTTTATACAGAACATTTATTTTTTGGAGAAAGCTTTTGTGATCTATGGAAGGATGTAATCGATAAATAATCTAGTTTATATACAAGTCATTTGTTGACAGAAAAGGCTTAGTTTTATTTGTAGTAAAGAAGGGTATTTTAGTAACTGAAAGTCTTGAGGGTCTCAAATATTAGATGATGTTCTTATAAATGCAAGTTTCTTTTACTGCTTTTACCTTGTGTACAAGAACGTTCTGTTGTGATTGAGTTTCGATTCAGTTTAACATCAGTTCTGGATCTGAATCCGAATCTTACCGATGTTTTCTCCAAGATCTGACAGACCACCGGGAAACTTCCAAGCATTCTTCGTCTGAGAAGGAAAGAAAATCATGTTTAAAACGTGCATGTTATTTTAGCTGTACACTTAGCTGTATTTCTTAGAAATATATCTCTATTGGAAATTAGTCATTTTATCTTTCTGCTATTTTATCGTTTTTATTCCACGTTCACAGATGATCTAAATATTATTTATATCTATCAACACAACATCAAATATTTTCATAAAAATGTTGTCTTATAGGGTTTAGATTTAAGACGGTACACAGTATTTCCATATTGAGTTTTAAAAGAATATAGAAATTGCTGCTAGTTATGAATGAAACTTTGATTCTTACTTGAGTGTTTTTTGGTCAATTGAAAAAAAATATATATACAGTGTAATGTAACAGCTTTAAAGGTTTGTGACCTGAGAATCTTCTGTACTATCAATAAAAATCAATGAGTATTTTTGTGGGCAATTATGTCTGAAGAGTGTTTTTTAATTCTATCATTAATATGAAGTATTTTCTGCATTGCAAATGAAAAACAAATTCAGTGTTTTGTACAACAATGAAAACATCTAATGTCTTTAAATAACATTGTTTTCTAAACACTATAAATGTATAGCTCATAATACCTTACATACTGTTTAATAGATTTGATTTTTAAAAATAAATTAGCAAAAAAAAAAAGTAAACAGGAAGTGTTAAAGTGATTTATACTCTGTTCCTGTTTCCTCTTTCATGTTCTCATTGTTAACTCCTGATTGTTTTCACCTGTTTCTTGTTACTCTATTACGCTGAGTGTATTTAAGCCCTTGTGTTTTCACTGTTCTTTGTCAGGATTTATCCATTGTTTGTACGCTTAGGTTTGCTCACTATGTTTCCCGTTACTTGGGATTGGTTTTGGACGATCGTAGTTCCCAGATTTATGCATTTTATGATTTTGTTGTTTTGATAAAATTTAACTGCATTTGGATCCCATTATCCCTCGTCTGCAGTGAATGGGTGCCATCAGAATGAGAGTCCAAAACTGCAGAGCATCCATTGCTGAGACACTGATGCACTGCTACATTTCTACAAATCTGATGAAGAAACAAACTCATCTACATCGTGGATGGACTGAGGGTGAGCACATTTTCATATTTGGGGTGAACTATTCTTTTAAATTACTATTTCACCTAATAGCGCCGTTTACATTGTCTGCATCAGAGCACATTGTAATGTGTCATTGTTTTTCCACTGGTGAAAGATGAACCGCTCAGCAGGGGTTTTAATCATTTCCACACTAGAGAAACATCTCCACGAGTGGGTCCTTGTGCTCCGCGAAGATAAATAACTCGACTGAAATGAGCTGCAGTCCGACCTCTGATACTCCCAGAGATATTTTAAACCTGAACACGCAGGCCATTTTACCAGTAAATGACGACCGAAGTGGGCCGTGACGCAAGATAAAAGCTGCTGGATAAAACAATCCTTTGAGTTTCCATTCCAGAGCTGCCTCGAGCTCAACCCAGCTGTTTGTTTTACTGGGAAACGCTCTTGAGGGCTGGAGGCAGACGTTTAACGAGGTTACACAGAATTCACTATCACTCGAAGAGCTGCTCAATCGTAGTCTCAGCTCAGAATTACTGTATTAGATTCTGGATTTCTGTCATCATTTACTATAAAAGTCTGTTGACCATGTAGTGTTTTCTTTCGTCCGTGAAACTGAAAACGAGGTTTAGCAGAATGTTCACACTGCTTTTTTTTTATACAAGACAAGTAGATTTGTGTGGAGACAAAACAAACACGAGTCCATTAAAATTTCTTGCAATCAACAGTTGAAATGTTTTCAGAAAATTCTGATATTAGAATAGAACGATATGTTGTTTTGGTGTTTTGATATGACAACATCCTAAACTGTAAAAACTACTATTTAAACAACAGTTTATAAAATAATAAAACTCACATTTCAGCCTAATGAATGATTATGCAGTATGTTATATCCATCTTATTTTGCAATGCGGGAGTAAACTGTTTTTTTGTTTTTGTGAATTCTTTAGCCTCTATAGGTAAATAACTAGAAGAATAACAATGTGCGGTAATCGATAAAACTATTTGCACTGCAAACCAGTGTGTTTAGGAATCTGAAAATAAATGTTAAACAATCTGATAAATACATGCATTATGAGCTGTTTCTGTACAGCTAAAATAAATAGACTTATAGAATAGAGTTACTAATGACCACACTATTAGAAAAATGACAAGAAAATCCAACTGAAATTTCTCAGACACAGTTCCCTTCAGATAGATTCATAAAGCTGAATATATGAATAAAAACTCCTTGGATTTGCAACAATAATGTGAATATCAATGTTAGAAAAGTTGAATGTGAACTAGTAAATGGTGCTCACAGGACATAAAAACATGCTTGGTTAAGTCATAATTATTTGATTAAAATATTCAAAATTCTGTACAGCTAAAATAAATAGACTTATAGAATAGAGTTACTAATGACCACACTATTAGAAAAATGACAAGAAAATCCAACTGAAATTTCTCAGACACAGTTCCCTTCAGATAGATTCATAAAGCTGAATATATGAATAAAAACTCCTTGGATTTGCAACAATAATGTGAATATCAATGTTAGAAAAGTTGAATGTGAACTAGTAAATGGTGCTCACAGGACATAAAAACATGCTTGGTTAAGTCATAATTATTTGATTAAAATATTCAAAATTATTATTTAAGTAGTCTTTTTTTTTTTTTTGCCTTATCTAATCATTTTGAATTTCGGCTCATAATTTTCACTTTTTTGTCAGAATTTCAACTTTTTATCTCATAACTATGACTTAGTATGTCATAATTGTGACTTTTTCCTCTCATAATTATGACTTTTGGCATAACTGACTTTTTATGTCATAATTTCGACTTTGTATGTCAGTTTCAACTTAGTATGTCATAATTTCACTTTTTGTCATAATCTCTCACTTTTTATATCATAATTTAGTTTTTGTCGTCATTTTGACTTAGTATGCCATAATTTTGTATTCTTATCTCATAATTATGACTGTCATAATTTAACTTTTTGCCATAATTTTGATTTAGTATGCCATAATCTCATTATGATTTAGTATGCCATAATTTCGACTTTCATCTCATAATTATGACGTTTTGTCATAATGTTTTACTTGCCTCATAATTATGACTTAGTATGTCATAATTTCACTTTTTGCAATAATCTCTCACTTTTTATCATAATTGAGTTTTTGTCATCATTTTGACTTAGTATGCCATAATTTTGACTTTTTCATCTCATAATTATGACGTTTTGTCATAATGTTTTACTTATCTCATAATTATGACTTAGTATGTCAATTTCACTTTTTGTCATAATTTTGACTTATTTCGTAACTATGACTTAGCAGACCTATGTCATAATTGACTTTTTGCAGTAATATTGACTTTTTTTTTATAATTATGACTTAGTATGTCATAATTTCACTTTTTGCCATAATTTTGATTTAGTATACCATAATCTCATTATGATTTAGTATGCCATAATTTCGACTTTTTCATCTCATGATTATGACGTTTTGTCATAATTTTTAACTTATCTCATAATTATGACTTAGTATGTCAATTTCACTTTGTCATAATTATGACTTAGTTTGTCATAATTTCAACATTTCATGTCATAATTACGCTTTAGGATATTATAATTATGACATTTAAAGTCTTCATTTAAACTTTTCACTAAATCATGATTTGTTTAGCACTCTGTTTACACCAGACAAGCATTAGCAGCAGAGGAAGGTCAGCGGACCGAGGCTCAAGGTACAACAGTGTGGCTTTAACTGCATGTTTGTTTACATGCTGCCCAAAACTACAGGAATGACACTGTTTACATGAAACTAAAATAATGTAGGGTTTTGAAGCAGCACAGAGCCTTTCATCAGACACATGAGAGACGTCAGTGTTAGAAGTGAGATTGATTCTGTACCTTATTTCTGTCCTGAACAACAAGGACTTTGCCGTTGGATTCGTCCACAACAGCACCTTTAAACAAGACAACAAGACATAAAACATGGTTTTATATGCTTCAAGAAAGCTACCTGCAAAGCTACAGTACTGTTAAAAGTTTTAGGCACTTGTGTAAAATGCTGTAAAGTGAGGATGCTTTCAAAAATAATGTCATGAATAGATTTTTTTATCAATTAACTTCTATTAACTAAATGAAATCAACATTGTGTGACCTTCCTTTGTGTTTAAAGCAGCTTTTGCCCTCGGTGCACTTGAGCAGAGTTTCTCAGGAGCTTTGCAGTGAGGTTTCTTGAACCTGTATTTATAACTTTTTTGTTTTACACTAGATTATAAACAAAGAGTGATTTAAGAATTTACAAAATGTGGATTAATATGTTTTAACCCTATAAACTGTATCATATTTGATACACAAATTTCCTGTAAATGATGAACATGATCAAACTTTGCTGTTAAATGTGTTTCTCACACAATCTCCTCATGTCTTTATTTCTTCAGCTCTCAATCACTGCATTATATGTTTGGATCATTTCAATCTCATTTTACTGAGACAGATTACTGGAGATATAGAGCCACCACTGATATTTATTTAGATCATTTTATGTCAGTATCATGCACTACTGTTATAAAGATCTCATTGATTTACATTACAAGCATCAGAATAAAACTGAGCTGTTTTTTTTATCTCCATTTTCTCACTTACAGTCTATAAGAGCCATCAAATCCTGATGGATCAAATATGATCCTCAACAAATAACTTTGTGAGATTGCTATTGCTGCTCTGAAATGGTCCTATAAATGCTTAACAATGAATCCAGCTATGGTCTAAATAAAAGCACACAGAGGATGTTGGTTTGGAAGTCGTTCAGAAAGGAAATGCGGTCGGTTTATTCACTGCTAGAATATTCCAATCCTGGGATTCACCTTCACAGCATTCGGCTTGAATCAAACACAAACATGCAGCAGCTGCCAGACTGAGCTCATACCGTCTTTCTGGGCATGTTTGGACATGTCTGTGTCCGGACCGGAGGAGCGGCGCCGCCTGCTGGTGAAGGACCCTAAACCCGAGTCATATATGTGACCCTGGAGCACCAGTAGGAAATTTACTAAATATCTTCATGGAACATGATCTTTATATTATTTAGTCACTTTGGGGAGGAGGGAATGATGCATGAAGATGTTTTAGGAAAAGGTTTAATGGAGAGACAGGTATACAGAGCTCTAATTAAATATATATGTGACCTTTGACCACAAAAGCAGTCTTAAGTCGCTGGGGTATATTTGTAGCAATAGCCAACAATACATTGTATGGCTCAAAATTA